AGAAAAGCCAGATCTGATAGACACAGAGTCTGATGTTGGGGAGAGTTTCAGAGAGAAGATGGACCTACCAGGCGACTGGGCGGTCGGGATGCAGCAGAGTGGGCTCCTGGTAGGATGAAATCCATCTGAAGGAGCCAGCAGGACATTGGGCCCAGAACAGGAGCAGCCAACCCTGCAATTTGTCCACCGAGGGGGACCAAGCATCCTTGTTTGCCCAGGATGGTCCCAGTTTTAGCACTGAAAGTTTCCCATAGCCCGAGAAACCCCTCAGTCCCAGTCTAGGGGGACAGATGTTTCCCCTAGAACACACAGCGGGCACAGGGCACCTGTGATGACCAGCCCTGGGCTCAGACCGGGCATTGGGCCTCTCATCCCTTTGGCTGAGTGCTCTGAGGCTGAAGCACCAGGCCCTGATGGGACATGCCTGGGAATGTCCCTCTGGGACATGGTAATAACACTACCCTTTGTTGCTCTAGAGCAAGGGTTCTTAGGCCCAAGGATCAGGGAGTACTTCCTGCAGTGATTTCCTAGGAACTGCTCTCAGTTCTGAGTAACTACAGGGTGAACTCTGGCCAGACTGTCTCTGCTCCTGAGTCTGTCCAGTTCACTTCCACCTTCGGGCCTTTGCACACACCACCGTTCTCTCTACCTGGCACACTGTCGCTTTTGGGACTCAGCCACATCCTCCAAGAAACTGCTCCTGATTCCCTTCTACTGGGGCAGGTGCCCCAGAGCACCCTCTTGCGTCCCATTGAATTAGGTTCCTAGGGCGATAGTGACAAAGTACCACAAACTGGGTGGATTTGAACAGCAGAAGTTATTCTCTCACAGTCCTGGAGGCTAGAAGTCCAAAACCAAGGTGTCGGCAGGGCCATATTTTCTCTGAAGCCTCTAGGGGAGAATCTGTTCCGTGCCTTTCTCTTAGCTTCCGGTGTTGCCAGCAATCCATGGTGTTCCTTGGTTCGTAGATGCATTACGCCAGTCTCTGCCCCTGTCTTTACATGGCATTTCCCCTGTGTGTCTGTGTCTTTTCTCCCTTTGTTTAAGGACACCAGTTATATCAGATTAGGATCCACCCTAATACAGTATGACCTCATCTTAAATTGATCATACCTACAAAGACCGTATGAGTATTTCCAAATAAGGTCACATTCATGTACCAGGGGTTAGGACTTTAGCATGTCTTTTTTTTTTTTTTTTTTTTTTTTTTGGTCTTTTTTCATGTCCGGCAACGGACCGCAACCCTCAGTGTCGCGCCCGTACCGGACCGGGACCGGCAACGGGATCGCAACCCTCAGCGTTGCTCCCACGCCTCGCTGAGCCAGTGAGCGGGAACCGGTCTGTATTTGGGATCCGAACCCTCAGCGGGAGCGCCGCCACGCTTCCCAAGGGGCACACTGTAGCAGTGCGCCACCGGGCCGGCCCTTTAGCATGTCTTTTTTTTTTTTTTTTTTTTTGGTCTTTTTTCATGTCCGGCAACGGACCGCAACCCTCAGTGTCGCGCCCGTACCGGACCGGGACCGGCAACGGGATCGCAACCCTCAGCGTTGCTCCCACGCCTCGCTGAGCCAGTGAGCGGGAACCGGTCTGTATTTGGGATCCGAACCCTCAGCGGGAGCGCCGCCACGCTTCCCAAGTGGCACACTGTAGCAGTGCGCCACCGGGCCGGCCCTTTAGCATGTCTTTTTGGCAGACACGATCCAAGCCATCACACTCATCTTTGTTCTCATCAGGAAATAGTTGCTGGATGAATGAAGGAGACAGTTGTTGTGGGGCATCTCTTGCCCCCAGGGTCCGTGAGCCCATGTGTGGCAGGGCCTTGCCAGGCCTGTTCCCCACTGCAGTCTCAGCTCAGCGCCAGGGCCTGGCCAGAGATGTTTGGGAGAAGCTGATGACTGAAAGAAGCACAGAAGGAAGAAGCGCCCCAGCAGTGGGCAGGTTGCTAATCTTCATTGCTCCAAAACACTTTGAAAGACCTTGTGGGAAGAAGCTGGATTTGGAAGGGACTGGGCCTAGGGAGTTTCCCAGGTCAGGCTGAACTTATTTCTTACAAGCAGGTTCAATCAGCTGTCTCCTTTATGGAATCTTCTAGTGTGGGTGTGGGCAAGTGTGAGCGTTTACATACTAACATATATATTATTGAGTTATCATTTACCTTCCTTTCATTTCTCCTTCATAATAAAGCTAGAGCATTATACTGATAGTTTTGTAATTATGTGACTAGGTAGGTTATATTGGACTTCTGATTTCCAGTCCAGCATTTAAGGAACTTGGAAGTCGTCTCCATCCTAACAAGAAAAAAGCTGAACTAACTGAAAAACCAGCAACTCTTCTTAGATCCATCATAGAAGTGAGGTCACAGGGCAAACTGCTGCCCCCAAAGTTGGAGAGACAGAAAGGCAGATAGAGAGAATCATAACTTCCCAGAGCAGAAACTGGCTCAGGAACCAGTATCTGGGTAGGAAAACCTGAACTGTGATTGATGAATTGCTGGAGGCTCAGTGTGGGCGAGTCTAGGAGTTAAAAACTCCAGGGATCAGGGTGGTCATGGGGAGGAAGACTTCTGTGAGTTTTACCTCTAGGAGCCCTACCAGGTTCTCACAGTGATATCGGAGAAAAATCCCCTCATAGGGCTGGCCCGTGGCTCACTCGGGAGAGTGCGGTGCTGATAACACCAAGGCCATGGGTTCAGATCCTATATAGGGATGGCCGGTTCGCTCACTGGCTGAGCGTGGTGCTGACAACACCAAGCCAAGGGTTAAGAGCCCCTTACTGGTCATCTTTAAAAAAAAAAAGAAAAATCCCCTCATAGGGCTGGCCCGTGGCTCACTCGGGAGAGTGCGGTGCTGATAACACCAAGGCCATGGGTTCAGATCCTATATAGGGATGGCCGGTTCGCTCACTGGCTGAGCGTGGTGCTGACAACACCAAGCCAAGGGTTAAGATCCCCTTACTGGTCATCTTTAAAAAAAAAAAGAAAAATCCCCTCATACATTTGGCGGGGGTGGGGATGGGGGAAGACCATTTTTAAATACATCAGAGTATTCTACCAAAACATTCTGTTTTACTTTGGAGAAAAGCATTCTAGGCAGAGGACACAGCAAGTGCAGAGGTCCTGAGATGGTACATTAGTAAAGATGTAGGTTCAGTTAGCAGAGATCCAAAATAAAAGTTGCTTAAACAAGTTTGTTTCTCATAAGAAAGATGGACCTGGCATGGTGGCTCTAATAATGGAGTCAGGTATCCTGATTTCATAACCTGTTGCTGCCATGACAACCTATTGCTGCATAGTAAACACCCCAAAACTTAGTGCTTAAAACAATAGCAGTCATTGGTTTGGCTCACAGAACTTCAGTTTGGTCCGGACTTAGTGGAGACAGCTCATCTTTGCTTTACATGACATCAGCTGAGGTGGCTTGACCAGAGGCTGGAGAATCCACTTCCAAGGCAGCTCGCTCATGTGGCTGACAAGTCAGTGCTGTCTGTCAGCTGGGAGCTCCGCAGGGGATTTAGGCTGGGGGTTCTGGTTCTTCTCCACCTGGGCCTTTCCACAGGCTGCTTGGGCTTCCTCATGGAGTGGTGGCTGGGTTCCAACAGTGAATGTCCCAAGAGGACAAGGTGGAAGTGAAAGGCATTTTTTTAACTAGCCTTGGAAGCCTCACACTGTGTCTGCTGGCATACTCTATTGGTCAAGGCAGTCACAAAGTTCTCTTCAGGCTCATAGGGAGGGGACATAGATGCAGACTCCCATCTTGGTCTTCACCTCCAGACTATTGCCCTTATCCGCACGGTCCACGATGGCTCCCTTCCAGCGCCTCATTCCATCAGTGGAAGAGAAAAAAGAGTGAGAGGCGGGGCTCACACCACTTCTCATTGTGTTCCATTTGTCAGAGCTTAGTCACATGGCCATACCTGGCTGCAAGGAAAGCTGGGAAATGTCTTTATTCTAGGAAATCTGGCTAAAAAATTGAAGGACCTGTTACTACAGGGCAGGAGTGGGCAAACCATGGCCCACGGGCCAAATCCATCCTGTCACCTGTGTTTGTAAATACACTGCTGTTGGCACACAGCCATGCTTATTTTTACATATGGCCTAAGACTGCTTTTGTGCCATAAATAGCAGAATTGAGAAGTTGCAACAGAGACTATCCGTCCTGCAAAGTCTAAACTATGTATAGTGGCCTTTTACAGAAAAAGTTTTCTGACCTTGCTGTAGAAGGAGAGTGGGTATTGGGAACCACTAACAAACAGTAATGGGGAGTGTGGCTGGAGGACAGCAGCAGAAAGGGACAGTGGCAGGAAATGAGATGGGACAGGTGGCCTCATAGCTGATCTGATAGAGCCTTGTAGTCCATGGCAACGACTTTAGTTTTTATCCTTAGTATGAGAGTTTAGAAAGAGAAAAGCAGCCTCTGGTATCCAGGAACTGGCCTGGCACCCTCAGATAGGACTTTGTGTTCTCCTGAACAGTTTCAGCCTCAGACAAGGCCACTGTGTGCCCATGATAAATCAAGACAAAAACAGGGCGACTCCATTATCATGTCTGAACACACACAAATGTGAACTTATTGAAGCTACAAAATGCCCAGCACACCTCTCTCCTGGCTATGTGAGTGATAGCTGCTGCTTTACCAATTAAAGCTTTCACCTTGCTCCGGCCTGCCTTCTCTATATGAGATACCCAACCAGAAAATTATCCTTGCTTCTTATAGCACATATCCAGAGCAAAATCCTGCTTCCTCGGGCCCCTCCCCAAGTCACCAAACCAAAGTCCAAATCCCATAATAAGTTCTAGCACCATCTTGCTGGGACACCCTGTGACTCCTGATGGTGGTGTATTCCCTGGCTACACCTCATTCAATCATTGCTGTGCTCTTAGTGGTTGTTGGCTGAGGGCATTGACAGGGTGTATCAGTTAACACTGATGTGCTGTGAATGAAGGAAAACCAAAATAATAGTAGCTTAAAAAGGTCCAAATTCCTCTCTCTCTCTCCCCACAGGTAGGTGATGGTTCCTGGATCGTCAGGGGCCCAGGCTCCTTCCATATTGTGGCTCTGACTTCCCCCTCATGGGTATGGAATATTTCAAACATATACAGAAGTACAGAGTTGGGTGTAACGAACCCCACGCCTCAATTCGTGGCCCATCTTGCTTTTCCGCTTCCTTCATCTGGATTGTTTTGGATTACTTTAAAGCAAATCCCAACATTATTTATATCATAAATACTTTAGAGTGTATCTCTAAAATGTAAGGACTATTTTAAAAAGAGAAAGCAATCCCCAGTACCATTATCACACCTAAAAAAAGTGAATTGTTCCTTCATAAAGCATAACACCCAGTCAGTGTTCACATTTGTCCTTGCAGACTCACCCCTAACCCTTGTGGGGCTGCCGTGGAGCCCACACACCAGATGTCTTGATATTTATAGCTTTGAAGGAAGCTACGCCCTGGCATTCCCACCCAGGGCCCCACAGCCCACTCCTGGAGAACGCCCTTGAGGCACAGTGGCTAAGACTCTGTGCTCTGCCCAGCCTTCCTTATGTGTGCCATACTGAGCTGGCACAGATCTGCCAGAAGCACAGGGCAGGCCGGGGCCTCTGAGCCTGAAATCACTAACTAGGCCAACTCCCAGGGAGCCAGGACAGGGTCCCCAGAGGCTGGAGTGCCTGCCCTGTGTTGCCTGGGGAACCCATCTGCCTAGATACCCACTTCCAGGGCTTGGGTGGCTATCCCAAAACCAAGCAGCCCCCTTCCCTTTGTTCCCAGGGCAGAGGTGGAGTTTCTCTCCGACACACAACCCCCAATGCACGTGTTCTGTCTCTCTGTCTCCGGCTTTGGGGCCCCACTCCTCCAGCCTCGGAGGTCCAGTTCAGCTCAATCTTTCTTCTCCTCTAACCCTGTTTATTCAGTCAATTAGCAAACTTTCCAAAACCTTCCTTAAGAGACTGAAAGGAAAATATTAGTATCTCAGTGTCTTTGTGTCTAGGGGTTGTGATACATGTGGCTCTAAAGCAGACCCCGGGTGTGAGGGCAGCACCATTTAGTCAGTTTCTCCAAGGCCTGTTCGTGGCATTTGGTTGCTATGCCTCCTTTTTCTCTCAACTTTTTATTTTGAAAAATCAAATGTACAGAAGAGTTGGAAGAACTCTACAGTGGCTCCACATGTGCCTGCCACTACTAGTTAACATGTTGCCACATTTGTTAACGTCCCTCTCCCCCACCCTGCATTCATGTATCTTCTCTGTTGAATACCTTTGACAGCAAGTTGGGGACATCATGACCCGTCCTGCCATGTACTTCAGCATCTGCCCCCTAGGAATGCCACCCACCCCACGTTTTCACACCAAAGAAACTTTCTTTTTTTTTTAATGACACGCTTCATGAATTTGCCTGTCCTCCTTGCACAGGGGCCATGCTAATCTTTTCTGTGTTGTTCCAGTTTTAGCATATGTGCTGCCAAAGCCAGCACCACACCAAAGAAACTGACCTTTGATTCAGTCCTGTCATCTGATATACAGGCCACTTTCACATTTCCCCACAAATATCTCCTGTGGACTTTTATTTTCCTGCTGTCGTCACCCATCGGGGATCCAGGTAAGGGTCATGAATTGAGTTTGCTTATTATGTCTCCTTGGTCTCTTTTAATCTTGAACTGTGCTTACTAGAGGTGGAAAAGGGGAGGGGGTTAGTGAGAAATTGGGTAATGGACACAAAGAATGATTATGTTTTGTAGTGATGGATATGCTAATTATTCTAATTTGATTGTCACATATTGTTCATAAGTATTGATAGCCAACTCTGTATCCCACACATATGTATAGTCCATTATGTTTCAATTAAAAACAAAATCTAAAACAGCCCCTCCTCACCCCCAAATATGCACTTTTTTTTCAGGGCAGTGTCAATACAGCCTCTGGGAAGCAGACACCAAGATTAGACATACAGAGACTTACTGGGAAAAAAACGCTGGGGAGGGGCAGACGAGGCTGGGACAGTTATCAAAGAGCCATGTGGGTTTGTCCCCCACAGGGGAGAGGGGAGGAGAAGAGGCTGGCAGGAAGTCTCAGACCGGGTGCAGTTCCCAGGAAGTTTCTTCAAAGCCACTGGGAGTCCAGGCTGGCCTCCATGTCACTCGGGCAGGGGCCTCCTGTGGAAGCTTGGCCTCGGTGCTAAGATGGGATGGATTTCTGAGCATGGTCACTGAGGTTCCTGCTAGCCAGTGAGACACGTTCCCTTGGCCACCACAAAGGCACTGCTTTTTTGTGTTATTTTTTTAAAACTTGGAGTTTTCTTAAACAGCTTTATTAAGATGTAATACAGATACCATATAATTCAACCCTTTCAAGTGTCTTGTTCAGTGGTTTTTGTCTATTCACAGAATTGTGCAGCCATCACCATGATTCAATTTTAGAGCATTTTCATCACCCCAAGAAGAGACTCCAGACCCATTAGCAGTCATTCCTTATTCCCATTCCCCGCTCCCAGCCCGAGGCGATTGCTAATCTACTCTCTGTCTCTGTAGATGTGCTTGTTTCATAGAAGTGGAATCATATGATTGGTGACTGGTCTTGTGTGATTGGCTTCTTTCCCTTAGCAGGTTTTCAAGGTTCATCTATGTTGCAGCATGGAGCAGGACTTCATTCCTTTTTATTGCCAAATGATAATTTCATTATATGGATTTACCACATTTTGTTTATTCATTTATTAATTGATGGATTTGGGTTGTTTTCACTTTTTGGTTGTTATAAATAATGCAGCTACGAATATTCGTGTAAAAGTTTTTGTGTGGACATATGTTTTCATTTCTCTTGGGTGTATGCCTAGATGTGAAATTGCTATGTCATGTGGTTACTCTATGTTTACCATTTTAAGGAACTGCCAAACTATTTTCCAAACGAGCTGTACCATTCCCACTGAAGTGGGCATTGGAATGTGTGAGGGTTCCAATTTCTCAGCATCCTTGCCAACATCTGCTATTGTCTATCTTATTTATTGTAGCCAACCTAGTGGGCATTAAACGGTATCTTATTGACATTTCCCTAATGACTGACAAATGATGTTAAGCATTTTTTCATGTGCTTATTAGCCATTTACATATCTTCTTTGGAGACATTCAGATTTATGATTTTCAAATGTTTCCTCCCATTCCATGGGTTTCTGTTCAACTTCTTTTTTTTTTTTTCCATGACACTTCTTTTCAATTTCTTAATGGCTGTCCTTTCAAGCACAGAAGTTGTTAATTTTGCTGATGAACCATTTGTTTTTTGTTTTGTTTTGTTTTGTTTTTTTGTCCTTTTTGAGACCGGCCACAACGCGCTCAGCCAGTGAATGCTGTGAGCGCACCAGTCATCCCTATATAGGATCCGAACCCGCGGCGGGAGCGCTGCTGTGTTCCCAGCGCCGCACTCTCCCCAGTGCGCCACGGGCTCGGCCCTGATGAACCGTTTATTTTTACTTTGGTTGCTTGTGCTTTTGGTGTTATGTCTGAGAAACCGTCATCTAACCCAGTGTCTTCGAGATTTACTCCTAGGTTTCATTGTAGGAGTTTTATTGTTTCATCTCATATGTTTAGTTTTGTGATATACTTTGAGTCAATTAGTGTGTATGGTGACAGGTAGGGGTCCAAATTTATTCTTTTACATGTGGTTATGCAGTTGTCCCAGCACCATTTGTTGAAAAGACTATTCTTCCCCCATTGAATTTTCTTGGTACCCTTATCAAATAGCAGTTGACCATAAATATGACAGATTATTTCTGGACTTTCAATTCTATTCCTTTGATTTATATGTCTGTCTTAAGCCAGTACATGGTTCCTGAAGTTTTGTAGTAAGCTTTGAAATTGTGCAGTGTGAGTCCTCTGACTTTTTTTTCCTCTTTTTCAGGCCTTGACTTTTTTGATTTGTCTGTTAAATCTCTCTTTTTAATTTTTTTCTGTAAAAGTTTCATTCTGCACAGAGGAGAGGGGACTCAGTCCTTCTTGGCAGCCACTTTCCTCATGGCAGCTAGGACATTGCTTAACTCCTCTTGCTTCCTCTTGGTGTGGATATGTGTCCCCACCCTTGTCTTGATGAACTCCAGGGCCCGTTTGTCCTTGGAGATCTTGAGCAGCTCCACGGCGTGGCACTCATACAGGGCAAAGCCACACACTTCTCAGATCGTGTCCCACAAGAATTTTGTATGCTTGGTGAGGCTCCACAGCAGTGGCTATACCTCAGTTTGCTAACATTCTTGGTCACCTTGTGACCCTTGTTAAGGCCCATGGCCGTGGGGTAGCACAGAGCTGTGGTTACTGCTCTTCAATGGCTGCTGCAGTAGAAGGCTGTTAAATCTCTTTTAATCTATAGTTCCCCTGCCCTTTTTTTTAAAAAAAGCATTTTATTTGTTGAAGAAACAGGGTCACTTGTTCTGTAGAATTTCTATTAGATTGAATTTGTTGATTGCATCTCCATGGTGTAATTTAACATGTTCTTCTATCCCTTGTGTTTTAATAATCCAATGGTATGATCTGATTTAGGTTCAGTTTTATAGCAGGAATAATTTGCAGGTGGTGCGTGTGTTTCCAGAGTTGGAACATGATGGTAGGTTGATGCTCTCTGTGATGTTAGGTGCTATCAATGATCCTCACCTGGATCATTTTTTTCATTAGACTTGCGTTTTGAAGGGTTGACCCTGGTTGCTGGTGTGCATTTGTGTGTGTGTGTAACAGGATCGTTGTGAGGACTGAGTGGGATAATCATGCAACAAAACACTTGGCACTGTGCCTAGCTAGCACACAGTGACTACATTGTTGTTGTTATTGTTAGAGCTGTGTGGGACCCAAGTCCTGAGCTCTGAGCCATTTTCTGGCCAGGGCTCTCTCCTCCTTTCTCCTTTGCCCCTGGAGGAGAAGTCAGCAGTGCCCCGGGCTCTGAGAGGCATGTTCAGGAATGCAGCAGCCGTCTATCTGCGCTTGGTGAGGCACAAGGGAAGGAAGGCTGGAGCCTCGCTCACCCGGCACTTGCACCAGACTGTAAGTGTTCTAGCCCCAGTGCTCAGCCACCTGCATGGCTCAGGGCTACTGGGATCGGGCATAGTCCTGGCTTCCAAGCTGTACATGAGCATCCTCCTTCAGGAAGCCTTCCCTGACTGCAGCCTGGTTGTGAGCCCCTCCCTTGCTCTTGCTTCTCTAGTTTAGAACTTGTAGCTCTGTATCTGAAGAGTCTGTTTGGATGCTGCTGACTCCTCGTTATCCCCTGTGCCCGGCCCAGCACCCAGCACACAGTAGGTGCTCAATAAATGTTGGCTGAATGAATGTATTATGTATGAGCCCAAGAACAGGCACTGTGTCCTCATTTATCCAGGCACCATGTGACATTGAAGGTTATGCCTTTGAGCACCCCATGTTTCTGGGTCCCCCCACTATTTCTATCTCCTTTCTAAACCCATTCAACTCCACTTGCCTCCTCTGTTATCCCTCTCAATCTGTGCCCCAGTATCCCTCTAGTTCTTCCCCCACCCCAACCCTTCACTACACTAGACTCCCTTCACTACAGTTTCTATCCCCCCTGTCCTCCACCCCCTGTCCCTGGCTCATCTTCACTTTATCTCTTTTAATATGACGCATCCCCAGTTCAAAAGTAATCCCACGTATCATTGAATCCATTATGCCATCAATTGTGAGATGCACTGCTATTTTATGGTCTAGTAAGGGAGGGAAATGTCAATTAAACTCACGCTATAGGGCTGGCCAGTTAGCTCAGTTGGTTAGAGCACAGTGTTATAACACCAAGGTCAAGGGATTGTATCCCCATACCAACAGGCCATTAAAAAAAAAAAAAAGACAAAAAAAAAATTCATTCATACTGTAGATTGTAAGACACATCCAAATTCAGAGAAGATGCAATGTAGAAAATGCACAATCAGAATCCATCAAATAGGTATGCTCACTGTGCAGAAAACTTAGGGCTGGCCCGGTGGCGCACTGGAGAGTGCGCCGTCTGGGAGCGCGGTGGCGCTCCCGCCGAGGGTTCGGATCCCATGTGGAGACCGGTTCCCGCTCACTGGCTGAGTGTGGTGCGGGCGCAACACCGAGGGTTGCGATCCCGTTACCGGTCAGTAAAAAAGACAAAAAGGAAAAAAAAAAAAAAGAAAACTTGGAAACATGGAAACAAACACACACACGAAATTAAAATTACTTTTAATCCCACTACTCAGAAACTTTGTTAACACTTTGATATATTTCCTTCCAAAAATTTTTTTCTATCATATATAATCATAGAAAACATGCATATATATATAAATATGTATTAGGGTATTTTTTTTTACAAAACAGAACCATATTGTACATACTATTTTGTTGCCTGTTTTATTGGTATCAAGGGCTGGCCCGTGGCTCACTTGGGAGAGTGCGGTGCTGACAACACCAAGGCCACGGGTTCAGATCCTATATAGGGATGGCCGGTTGGCTCACTGGGTGAGTGTGGTGTTGACAACACCAAGCCAAGGGTTGAGATCCCCTTACTGGTCATCTTTTAAAAAAAAAAAATATATATATATATATATATATATATATATATT